TTTTTTTAAGGAATACCGTATTTTAAAATACATCATATAAATTTCAAAATATTCAAATACACAAATCAAATACAATAATATTTATAATATATTTTCAAAAAAAGTGCGGGAATATAATATAATATAACTAGAGAGCGCTAGTATTCTTGACACAGCAGCTGATTGTCTTAGCACTTTTAAGTTTCATTTTATAGACTGATAACCTGCTCCGTTCCGTATCCAGTATATCTTAATTCATGGTATACACTTATACAATGTTATACTTCAAACTAGTGTCAAAATACTAAACTATCTTTACATACTTTTTTAACTAACATCAAACAATTTGTACCCTTAAAAAAAATTTAATTTTCTTTTTGGAAGGCTAACTTAACATAGTTATCCGAATTTGTCATAATATAAACTCTGAAAGGCTATCCGATTAGTGATTATTGCCACCAAAAAATTAAATGAAATTTCATTCATATTTAGCACACAATTAGCATTAAGTTATTGAACATGCAAATCTTTTAATTTACATGACAACAAATAAATGGATATGTCGCCCTAAGCATATCAAACTAGCTCTAAAAGAAATAAAATCATTAAAAAAAAATTATCCTTTTATATTAAGTTTTTAAAATAAAAATGTAACAAATTAAATTTATATGTACATTTAAAGATGCAGGTTTAAATTGTTTACAGATTCATTATTTCTCATTCTTTTCAATTTTTGGAAGTAGATCATGGTGCAGTTCCCAGTTGTGATTGTTTCTTCAATCTTCTTACATACCTCAAGTAATGTCCAGCAGCATAGTGAACGATTGATATTAGAATGTACCTATTAAGATTAAATATGTTTAATGATGCTTATTGTGTGTAGTTAATTAAAAATAAATGTAATCGACATTTGGCCGAGGAACAGGAAAATGTAATAACAATTGTTTATATAGCCAATGCACAAAAACAAATCAAATAAATATTATGATAATATACATGCAATAAATATATAAGAAAATAAAAAAATTAGTTATTATTATTGTTCTTATTTTTCAAAATTATTTATAACGACAATAGTACTTTGTTATTTGTGCAGTTCTTTGAACACTTGGTATATTGGACAGAGCTAGGAGCAGTATTTAAAAAATTGTTTATTAGTTTAGGGACGTTAAATATGACATAAACATATTTGACGGCAGGAATATCACCCTCTACTTTAAAACAAATTAATAATAATTTAAGCCTTGCTACTCTTTGAAATGTATTTTTATCAATATTTTTAATAACATTCATTATATAAGAACGCACTGAGTACATAGTACTTCTATAAGTTTGGTGACACATACAATAGCAACAATATACCGTCTAACATAATAATATAGGTAATAAAAAAAATTTAAAACTAAAATGTACAATCATTTCTTCTTTTTCTGTAAATAGATAACATATTAAACTTAACCAGATGTGATACATCAAAATAGAAAAAAAAACAATCATATGTTTGTAATTTTTAAATTAAAAACTGCTAGCTGATGGAAAATACATTTTATACGGTGCGGAGCCAGGGTGATAACAAAGAAGTATTTTTTTAAGATTATCCTTAGCATTAAGCAATTTATCTTAACAGAGTTAGGAAAACAATTTTTTTTAATACTTACAGAAGTCGTTGATATCATCGTAAGAACACATTTCTAAAATTAAATTAGTGGTAGTCATTAATGTCACAGTTGATGTAGTTGTTTGAGCAATAGAAGCTAAACCTTGAAACAAAGATGTATTATCCAACCATGCAGCAACAATAACAACAGATTGATTTAGTGTACTTGGGTGTAGTTCTTTTTGAGACAGATGCACATTCTTATTAACAGACCACAAAATTGAGTTATGAAAATGTACAATATTAATAATTTATTATAATACAAAGGACTTAGTCTTATATTTTGGTATAAAACCATTGTTTGCCTCAAACACATTTTATCATAAGTATGACTTCAATTCAAGAGCCCATAAGGATTGATCATTTTAAGTATTTGAAGGTAAATTATGATTTTTAAAGCACAGGAAAAGTAACATAAGTAATTTACTTATCATTAACCTTATAAATTTATAAATAATGTACTTTATGAATAAATAACCTTAATACACAAAATAGGGACTTCATGCCACAATAATACTAAATATTGTCCTCTAAATAATAAAATATTTACTATATACCAAAAATAACTAATAATTCAAGTTCGGTATTTTTGATTAACTCATAAACTTAAAAATCAACAAATTGCTTTGCTAAAATAGTATACAATAATAATTATAAATTCTATTGTTTTGGTAGTATCATTGTGATGGAGGAAAATTACAAGTAAAAACTGTAAACAGTTGCATTTTACTGCTATTTACACAAAAATATAAGGTAACATTTATTATAGTAACATAATTATTCAAAACTCGATCTTGAATTTTTAAATAATACAATTATTTTTAACCCTCACCATATTTAGATTTTTATTAAACTTTTTTAGAGAATTTAACAAACCATTTAAAATAGTTGAAAAGTGGGTATATAATATCAATAGAATTCAGCATATTATGTATTTAAATTATCATCAATATTTTATAGTAAATTTAAATAAATTTCATGATGTATTGTTCTCCAAATATATTTCTAATCAATCCTCTCCTTCAACTCACAATCAAAATATTTATTTTATATTTTATATGTCAAACAAATTAAATCAATAAAAAATAGCGTTCAATAAATAAAAATAATTTAATTGGTATGCCAGGTTTTTATTTATTCATTAATGATAAGCTTTATTAAACTATACGAGTCCCTACAGAAATAAACATCCCATTTTTAAGCTGATAATTTTTTAAGTAACAAATTGATTATTCTTACATCTATAGTACTTTTGATAATGTTTTGATTGTAAACAAAAAATATGTAGAAACTCAAACTTTTTAAGAGAATATCATAAGGATTCTGTGGTTCCATTAGACCTTTAACATCTGAACAGTGTTGTTAGGGCATGACATATCTTCTTGAGCTAAATCCATTATTTTGTAAATGATCATTATTTATTACTTCTTGATCTGTACCATTCGCGGACAACCTTATACCATTTACTTAAGCACTCAATTCAACGCATTGTAAAATCTCTTTGTAAATAAATAGGATATTTTATTATTTTAACATAAATAATATGTGTTAAATCTTAAGATGCTTATTAAAAAGTATTTACATGTGATTAATAATTAGAAGCAATATTTAGGTCTAGAGTTTGAAATCACATATTTTAGAAGCATAAATTTTGTTTATACAATGGTTATATATTGAAATAGTTTAAAACAACTTAAAAATAATATTTTATTTAAATTTTTGCTTAAAACAAACAATGCTAGGTGTTAACAGTGTATAATACTTATTTATTATATTTAATATCTAACTATTGAAATAAAATTAAGTTTATAATAATACTATGAAACCAAGTTGGCACAATGCCAGTCCACAACCAAGAGATAGTATTATTAAACAAGCATACAAACAATACATTTCATCGAGTAACAGTACAAAAGAAAATGCATATACACGTGAGATCATGTACAAAGCTTGGCACCTTTTACAACAAATATACACAGCAAAATCTCAAATAAATAATGTGAGTGAATCAGAGTGAATGATTAAAATATGTAAGAAAACTGTGCTAAGTGGACAGCACACGGGCGTTTGTTGCCTCTGTCTTACAAATGTACAATATGGCAAATTTTACACTCACAATAATACATTTTACTCTGTTATTTCTAAAATTATAATGAATTGACCTCTTATAAAGTGCAAGGGCAAGAACATTATCTAGGAGGATTTCATTGATGTTATTATTTTTAAGTAAGTTATGACCATTTTTAAACTGTATATGTTTCGTAAATTACCTATGTAAGACAGAGACAACAAATGCCCATGTGGAGTTCTCTTAAGAATTAACTAATAATAGGTACACAACATAATGTTAACACTAATAATATCGTTAATATAAGGCATTATATAATATAAGAAAAATATTGAAAAATTAAATGATAGATCTAATTACTTTTTTCTTATTTTGTAAGCTTTTCCCTATTTCTTATATTTGAACTTTATTTAATACCTATTGATATTCGTCAAGCAATAAAAATGATTGAAGAAATATTTTAAAAGAATCAGAATTGTATAAAGAAAACATATGTACCTACTTACAACTAAAATTATTTGAATTATTTGAATTATTTGAATTATCTTGAGGGGGTTGAAATAAGCAACGTATCTTCGCCATCATCAATTTTTAAAATGTCTTCTCAGCAACACCTGAAAATGAATCAATTTGTTTATCAACTAAAATATCTTTCTTAATAGCTAGTAATAACAATAAAAAAGTAAATAAATAGGTGTTAAATATTCAACATTTTTTGTGTCAATACTACGATGAAAGGATCAGTGTTTCCTCCATTAAATAACAAAATTGAATAAGTTGAATTTATTACAAACAGATTAATCAAATCGTTATTTTTATTTCACGTAAATACAGTGCAATAATACATAATATTTTCATAATCGTTAAGAGGATGAAAAAAACTGTTATGAGCGGGTTAGAACCACTCGGGCTGTACAGTGATAGTAAGTAGTAGACAGACTAAAAATTGAAAAATACATATAGTTGAACATTAAGTGTGAAATTATTTCACTGAAATATCGTTTTTATTGTTCTAAAATAGCTTACACGAAAAAAGTTCTCGTCTCAAAATCCGTTGTTTTTAGGTGTTTCAAACTCGAATAATTTTTGTTCGTAGTTTCGATATTGAAAAAACGAAAACGACATCTCGCAGCCCAAATTCTCCTTTTGCGTGGTTACAATTTTGTCTCTCGGTATTACGACCGTATCCCTCTCGATTCCCTCCCTCGCAAAACGGTTCGAGTTTCGCCGTTTAAAGCCGTTCGACAGTGTCGTTACGAAAAACGTTGCCGAACCGTCGTGCACGCCGTGGTTGACCGCTGTGAGACAATTTGCACCGCGACAACGTCGTCGTTGTTTTTCGCCATGACATTATCATTGATAAGAAATCAACGATATATTTTGTACTGTGTCTCAATAATGATATTAATTCGTCGGCTCCGCGGCAAAACCTCGTAAGTTGCTCGTCACAAATCGTTGAGGAACAGCACGGAACTACGAGTTTTTGTTTTTGTGCATTGTCGTCTTATTAAAATGGAGGGAAAAATAACCATAACATTACCACGTCAAAATGTGCGGAAAAGTACAGTGCAACCAATAAGAGAGAGGAAAAATTATTTCATAATTTTCACTTACGAGGTGTTGCCGTGTGGCCGACGATACGTTTATTCGATTTTATTCGGTTTGAACGTCGCAAACACAATTTGGACGGTTAAAATGTTATGTTGACGCCTTGAAAACTGAAGACTGAACCCTTTTCCAGTTTCCGCGCTCTATTTGTCACCTCGTGAGCGCCCCGTTGATGTCGGCTGTCTAGTGTCCAGGGCTGTCCGCTACCGAAGAGTGCGTCGCCATATTATCGTTGTAACAAGGATTGAATTCACCAAACAGTAAACTTACAAGTCATAGCAGTCTATAATTTTTTGTTCATTACAAATAGCCCATCACCGGGAAGCCAACAGGTTAGTTTATTAAAACGTCTTGCTGAGCATTAGTTACCATGACCGTTAGTTTTAGTCATAGTGCTCGATTAGTATTTAGTAATTTATAGATCATTTTGTTTGTTCGACGTACATTACACTTGCAGGAGACGAACCCTTCCCTTTGCACTTTGTATGTACGTTTAATCTTATACTTATTGACAGAAACTCTATGTAGGTAGGTACGTAAACATTTAGAGGGTGATCATTACTCATGTAAAATTATGTAAACAGTCAAGTTTTACTACAACCGTGCAATTAAGCTTATTACTATAACTATGTTGTTTCCATACATGTATCCTATAAATGTGTATCTAAGCGGGACATCAGTATATAGCACTACTGAATACAGATTGCTTTGGTAATTTTTACGATATGTGATTTTACTCTCATTAATTAGAAACCTGTAGTGGTCTGACGACTACAGGTGCCGTTTGAGAGGAATAGGATGAGGTGTATTTTGATTTAATTTGCAACCCTGATGTAATGTGATGTAGTTTATTAATATTTAATAAAACAAATGCAATTTAAACTGTGGATTGTCTATTCTGTACTACCTAGAATATTCAGAGTGTTCATTAAATATCCTTTTGAATAGAATATTTTCTAAGTCCAAATAATTAACTCTTTGAAATTATTCTAAGACCAAATTAATACAATAAAAGAGTAGCGTGAAGGTGCTCTGGCTCGTCTGGTCAAATCACATCTAAATGTGGGCTGTTTGGGGCTCTCCTATATAGGCCTACCCTCTACTTCTCCTATCCCCCTTGATACGAGTATCGTTCCCACAGATGCTGTGGCTGCCAGCTATCGTACCAGGAAATACTAACGACCTACACCCCGATACGACTTTCCCGAGTGCGCATCCTGGGCGTCGCAATGTGTATGGTCAAATATCTATTATGTGGTATTCGTGATTACTATAACACGTCATACAACATTCATTATATTTAGTCATCCTCGTTATTTTATATTATTATTTCATATTCCTATAATGTCCATTATCCATTGTGTCTCCAAGAAACCATATATCAACCCTTTTCTTTACGTATTGTTTCACACGTCGCCTCCCTCATATATTTTGTATTACCTGTATCTGGTCTATACGCCGTGATTACCCCGTAATAACCTCTACCCAGGTGTCTAATGCAGGATGTTAGTCTATATCATTACTCCGTAATTGCCTCTTCCAAGGTCCAACGCAGGACGCCAATCCATAGCAAACCATAAAAACAGATTATTTTGCAATCATGTGTTTTAGGTATGTTTGACTGACGTGAGGAGGGAGAATGCTTTAAATTACAACATAATAACTTAAAATATTATTTTTTGTTTAAATATTTAAATTTTGTCCGAATTTGATCTGAATGTCTATTAAAAAAAATGTTTCTTAATTTTTAGATTTTTTGGTTACAGTAGGCATTATTTATGGATAACCTTGTATTAAGGTGATGTTACACAAGCATTTTGTTGCTCCATCTTACAAGTGCATAACATTGCAAATGTATGCTCAGCAGATCACATTTTGCATTGTTAGTTTAAAAATCAGAGTGAATCAATATATTATGAAACTTGATGGTAAGAACATCATATTTTGTGTTTTAACGTAAGTTTTTAGCAAGTTTAGCTTGTATAATATAGCTTAAATTAAAAATTATTATAACTCACTTAAAAACTGTATTATTGAAAAAAAACCTGCGTGGCTACATCTATAATATTCTTACCGAGATTCATGCCTTAAAGTTTCATAATACATTGATTCACTCTAATTTATAAATTAAACCCGACTAAACCCTAATCTCTTCCTAACCCCTAAAATGTATCTACAATAACCCAGCTCAGTCTTTTTTTCAAGAAATATATTCTACACTATAAATAGGTTATGTATTATTATACTCGTTATCTTAATAACTATAATATATTCTTAAAAACATTACTAAATTTATAGTCGTAATTTACCAACTTAAATTAAGAGTAAAATTTAGCCATGTTACAATATGTCACATGAACACTTTTAAAAGTAACAAAGTAAAAAATATAATTAATTTGGTCATTACATATTTTGTTAAAATATAAGATCAATCAAGTGAGCATTTTATTTCAATCTTTGAGATAACATTATTTATTTATATTTATAATACAGTTAAATATACCATGTATTTTTTTGCCTTAAAAAACAGTATGTACATACCCTTAAAACAGTTTTTACTTCAAGACAAACAACATAATATTATTATTCCATTTTTTTGTCATCCTTTTATTTAAAAAAAAAACTTTAAAAACTTTAAAATAAATAACATTCCAAAATATGAACATAAAATGAATATTTTAGTTATCTAATCATTAACTAGAATATTGTGTATCACAATACTTAATATTAATAGATACTTATAAGTCTGATCTGATGAGCTTAAATCTGCTAGGTTAGTTAAGCACTTGTAAGACGGAGAGAGGAAATGTTTATGTAGTGTCCTCTTAAATTTTCTATTGTAATTAGTCCATATTTATTTACAATTTTGACTAAATTTATCGAAATTCTAACTAGTAACACTTATAAAAATATTATGACTACCTATGTATTTTCATTATTTTTTAATAAGTAGCCATAAGTAATAAATTGTCCTTAAAATAAAATAAGTTAAATAAATGATTATTATTATAAAATAATTGTAGTTCATAAAATGCTTAACTGCTGTTAGTCTGTATGCAAGAAGCCTGAAATGCTGTTTTGAGAAATAATAAGTAGTTTGCAAACGTTCTACATCATTGCAAATAGCCTAGTCTTTTTGCAAAAAGACTAATTTTCCATATGGCCTACAACATATAAGAATAACTTATGAGGTAGCTTTATTAGATTTTTAATCTTTTTGGCCAAGCAAAAAACAATTTATTGATATTTATAGAAAAGAGCAAAAACAAATTTCATATGTCTAAATTACGTACTTAATTCAATGAATGTCAATATTAAAGAATTTTACCGTGCATAAAAAGTGCTTCTTTAAACATTTTGTGAAAATTTCAAATTTATTTGTTTTTAAATTATCTACAACAAAATAAAAAAATCGATTTTTTTGTTTTTCCAAATTATGAAAAGTACCTACTGGAAATTTTCAATTTTGACCTCCTCTAAGTATCAACTATCAAGGTGACTATTCCAAAAAAAGGACAGCACAAACATTTTTAGGTTATTACTTTAAATAATATCACTATTCTTTCAGTAATTATTTTACATTAGCGGTTAAAATAATTTTTCATTAGTTCTATATCTTAAGAGGATCGGTGGCGGTGACGACTGTCTTTGTCTAACACACGCGTTACATAAGAATTCAGAGGTGTTTTTTGGCAAACGATGAATGTTTTTTTATTTTTATTTTTTATTTATTTTTTATCGTTTTACTCAGAATATAAAATCAAAAATGTAGACTGACCGATCTCAAGTAGACTTGACGGCAAATTCAAATCTGTTTTCAGAATTCTTATCGCTTCACTTTATCAATTGGTATGATTGCCAAAAAACACCTGAATTCTTATGTTGCGCATGTGTTAGGCAAAGACAGTCGTCACCGCCACCAATCCCCTTAATGGTTTATGTGCTTCATTAAGCATTTACTGCTATACATACCTCTAGTGCTGCCTACTTTTTAATTATTCTAAGGAAAGTGCATTCAGACTTCAAAGATTCAAAGCATGTGCCTCTCCTCTTTGGCATTTAAAAAAAAAAATGTAACAACTAATAAAAATTAAAAGAAAGAAGAGAATACATGCACAGTGATAGTATAATTAATGAACAAGACCACAATGCCAATACAGTGAATTGTGTGCGTATGTTATAACATGTCCACGTGGTCGTTTGAATTATTGATTAAACAAACCAATATAATATTAAATAATATTATAATATAATATGTCATGTTATTTTATTTATTTTGTTCAGTATTTTTCTGCAATAATTAATAAACATTGATACAATTGCAAGTATTATTGGTCAGACGAGTTGAATTATTAAGTTTGCCAGTTGTGTGGCCACATAATTTTAATCAAATCACACCGAATCATACTAGTTTACTCTCTAGTATATAACATATCAGATCGTATCAGATGCTTATCACTGACAATTGTACATAGCTAATCGACACTCACTCGACAAAAACTGTTATGTTTTATAACATCGGTTTCTAATTTTAATAGAAAATTATTTTATACAATATTATTTTGCATTTGTTTCATAAATTGAATTTTTTTCATTTTAATATGGAGATTACGGGATTACAATGATCCCACCTTCTAAAAACAGGACAAAAAGCGTCTCCTTTGAAGTTTGTTAGGACAAGAAGGATAAAAAAAACTACAATCCAGTTTTATGCGGGATGTTAGATCACCCTAACTAGGTCTAATTTTTTATAAAGGTTAAGTTTATAAGTTAAAGGTCGAAACATTTTTTCTACTATAAATCGTATGTATACTTACGGTAAAACATTTCCATAGTCAATTTTAGTACTTGGGAGAGGTTAATAAAGTGGTTTTCAAACTTGTATTATACACAACACACCGTACTCTTTAAAAAATTTCACTGCACACTGACCTTTTTTTATATGAAAAATTCAATACAATCGGTAATTTATAGATAAAACCGCTGCACACTTAGTGAAGGTGTGCTGCGGCACCCAGTTTGAAAACCACTGTGTTAATACTACCATGTTTAACCTTGAGAAAATTAGATAAACCTATAGATAAAATTAAGAATACATATTTTAACATGAAATTGATTGATTATTTACTAATATTTATGCATTTATTTTTCCTAGAAATGGCTCCTAAGAAGAAACCTCTCAATGGGTATGCATTGTTCATGATGGAGACTCGACAGAAATTAATGAGTGAAGGAAATAAACTAAGCATGGCTGATATGTCTGAGTATTGCCAAAAGGATTGGGAAAATATGTCTCAAGAAATGAAAGAAAAATATAAAATGAAAGGTAAACAAATGAAATATGAAGGAAAAGTAGCCAAATATACTTCGATTGGTGAAAATATAGAAGATGTTCGTAGAGAATCAGATGAAAAGAAATCACAAACAGATGCTATGTACACATATATAGATGTATTGCTTGACATGCAACCAGCCAGCCATTATCTTCCCAAGCAAAAATTCATTTTAATTCATATAAACTCTTATTCGTGTGAGAAAGAAGGATTTTATTTTCCTGCCGAGATATCCATGGCCGAGTTTTCTTTAGAAAAAGGCTTGATACGCATGTTTCATCAGTTAATTGGATTCGATAAAGTCAGAACAAATGCTCCAGAAGCTCCTACAGCAGATATTAATAGTCATGCTGCTAACAATCATAAAATCAACGTATTTACAGTGTTACCCAATAATTATACAGAATTATTACTAAAAATGATTGGTAAGTATTAATAATAAAAATCATTAAATTTTTTTTTTTTCAAATTAATGTTGAAATGTATGTTAATTATTTAGGTTTTATCATGAACAAAGATGTCGATGAAACTGTTCTAGATGACTTAACATTGGACATGCCTCCAGTCTATACTGCACATACACCTATTGGAAATGAACTAATGATTACTAGTGCAAGTTTATTTAAGTTATTTGAAAGTGCAGTAAGGGATGCTGAAAGAAGTGATTTCAATAATATTATTAGAGTTTACCATTTGGATAAACTATTCATGAATCTGAAAAATGCATGCTTTAAAGTTAAACATCCAGGTAAAGTTGAGTTGGCTTTACCTTCTGTTGCTATGGCTACTGATGCCTTATCAAAAGATGTATTAACTGTAATGAAAACAGTTGGTTGTGATTTTCATGAAAAACTTGATGACATTCATGTTTGTAGTAGCTATTATGTATGCAAGTGGATACACATTCTATCAGCTCATTGTTGTCGCTATTTTGACATACAACTTGTACCTGGTTGTCATTTTGCTTTTGATTTATCTAAAACAGACAGTTCAGTTGAAGAACGTTTTGGTAAAATGAATATTTCTAAATGTTCTGTTGATTGTTCCAATAATAATAATAATATAAATAAACCGATCACTGTAGCAGACAACCGCGCTTTTCCACCACTTGGAGGTGAATTTTCAGCTGTTATTCAAAAACCCATTAGGAATGTGCCTGAATATGAATCAAATAAAAACAGCAAAATTACAACAGATGATAAGGACAACTATCTTCAACTTGGTGATTTGAAAAATATTCAAAAAGATGCTCCTGTACCTGTTGTGAACCGCTGGCAAGAAAATGCAGGTCGTGGCAGAGGTGTTATAGGTCAAATCCGAAGTAATAACCAAAACCAATTAAATGAAAGCCCGAAGCAACCATCCAAGGGAAGAGGATTTATTGGTAGAAGTAAATAGACAGTGTAGACAAAATAGTTATGACTACATTTTTAGTGTCCAACTTTATTCAAAAAGACATTTTTTTTTAATTTTTAAATATTAAATATCATTAATTTCTGTTATTTTAAACCAGTTAGTGGTTTAATTCAATAATGATGAAGAAGCTCGTACAAAAAAATGTATTGAAAGTCAACAAAAATAAAATTTATTATTATTAATAAACCGTATTGCAAATCAATTGTCTAATATCAAGGTAAATTGTCTAGAAACCTGTGAAAACCTCTAAAAATATGAATTTAATTTTCAAATAAAATGTATTATTTCTAATCTGAGGTGATGGTTGGAAGTGGTGTGAGTGGTAACTTTGTTATGAAGAGGCCTGACTTCATATGGTAAGTTCCAAAGACTAAAATTATCTGTTTTTGTCAATAATAAAATGAATCCAACCTTCCTTATGCCGTAATGTTTGAATTCAAATATTTAAATCCTTAATTATAAAATGTTCATTAAATGGTTACATGATATATACATGGTATATATTATTTGGTTTGTATGTTTTAGATTTCAGTTATAAAGTTTGTTAATAATTGTATCAATAAAATACATATGTAATATAAATGAATGAATCATTTTTTATAGCCGTAATGAAGTTTACACAGATGTATTTTAATTACATAAGATATTGTTATTACTTTTACACTGTTTTGTCTATCACTAAAAATAAAATCCTTATTTTGATGTAGGAGAGTTTTGAACAATGATAATAAGATGAATAGAATGATAAATGATAGTTATAATAGATATTAATTAATTATAAAATAAAATATACAGTTTATAATGTTTCAGTGAATAGTATATTTTAAAATATATATACATATAGATTATACCATTGATAAAATTGATTTTATATAACTAGTCGTTCATTGTTCAATTACCATAATATTATCTTTACAATCCACTCAAAAATTACAGATTTATGATAGTTATTTATTTGAGTATCAAACTTTTTGTATAATCTTGGCCTATTATTCGATATCTGTTATAATATTTTGATGTGTTTTTTTGTAGAAATATCATATTATTTTTATTAGGGTAATTACATTATAATATGGCATAGGTATTTGCATGTTGGGGCATGTGCTTTTAAAATAGAAAAGTTTGGTGATGTTCTTGTAATATTTGAAAAAGTTACAAAGACCGTTTTTTATTATTTAATGTTAATAGTTATTATTTGAGAACCATGCAATTATTTTTTTTAAATAGTTTTCTGCTCTTTGTATTGCTGAGTCTCAAGAGTCCCCAGTCATAATCATTGCCGAATCATCTGCATGGAAGTATAGACTAGTCTAGGTATAGACAGTCCTATGACATAACTATATTCCACGGTATATAATAACGGTGATAGTCTTCTAAATAACATTTAAATAATTTCAAACTTATTTTTTAAAATTAATTTGATCTACACAATTAATTGAATTATTATAATATACTGATTTGAATGCTTTATTTAAATCCATTAATATACCAAATGTTTTTTTTTAGAATCCATTGCCTGTAGAACTAAATGAGTTAAGCTACTGATAGCACCTTCAGTGTTATGTCCTTTTCTCAAGCCAAATTGAGTTAGAGGTAGGATTTGATTTTCCTATAATTGACTTATTTACTATAGTTAAAATTTGTCTTAATTTAATTACTTGTTCAAATATTTAAAAAAAAGTTGTCAAGAGACTTATCGGTCAATACATTGTTGCTTAATTTGGATTACCTTTTTTAAGATTGGTGCTATCATTATTTTGAAACAATTTAATACTATTCCTGTTATATTCCCTGAATATATTCCCATTATTTATATTTTGTTGTTTATTATAATATTTACTATGATGGCTCTAGCACCCTGTCATCTAGTAATTTAATCATGTCTGTGGGAATATGAGTATGTTCCAGAGCCGTGCCTCCTTTTAAGAGTGTTACTATGTTTTTATTTCTTTTGTATATTTTTTCTTATGTATTATGTATAGAATTGGTGTATTATTGGTGAATTGTTATTGTCTAGACTATTTTCGGTTATGTTACTATAAATATTTGTGTTTTTTGTGGTTGTATTAGCAAATTATTCATTAGTTAAAGATATTTTAGAAGAATAGGTTTCATTTTTACACATAACATTATTTATTTATATTTGTGAAGTCTTAATTTTAGTATTAGAACGCCTCTATGTAGCTTTTTTAATAGTTTTCCATATCTGTTTTGAATTTTGCTTTTTATGGCACATTTTTCAATATGATGATTTTATGTGCTCGAGTATAATAAACTTTTTTGATTATGTATTTTATTATAAAAACTTATGAATCAAGTGTTTTATCAATGAAAATTAGATTAAGTTTATTCTACCATTGCTATTTTTCATCAGTTATTTAAAGGTATTTTAGAGTCTTCGGACCAATTTTATTCAACATGCACATAAAGTGTATTTGTGATTTAAATGTAAGTGGCTCAGTGTCAGTGGTTACGTATAATGATGACACCTGCCTTCTCTTTTCCGATATAAGTTGGGATACGGTACATAAAAAAGCAGCTCAAGGCTAAGTATAGTAGGTACCTAATAAAGAAATTTAATTTTAAAAAAGCCAAAAAAGCATGCCAATTAACATGAATTAGTTTTAAACTGAATAAAAAACTTGACCAATTAATTTAAATTAAAAAATAATTAACTACATCTACCTACCACTTACCTTTGAATTTTCATCTTTTCTGATTAAGATCTCTGCATCCTTGATCCTTATTATGTAGCCCTTTTCTTTTACTGTTACTGTCAAGACTGTTAAATATTTTTTCTTTTTCATAACTAGCTGTATCTATGTATTTCCCATTAGTTACCGTCGGGATATTAATAATATATATATTTAGATTCTGAGTGGAGCAATAAGTGTATTGATTTTACAATGAGGTGTGTGTTTTTTTGTGTCTATTATCACTGAAGACCAGATTTTGCATGTGATGCATAGGTGTTCATACTTTAAAAAAAATGACATGCAGTAAATGGATTTTCATCAATCATACTTAAATAGATAATATTACAAATTTGTATTTTGCATATTTTGGGTACAAGTGCATATTTTCCATAAAAACGAATGTTTTTGCATAATACGTATAGGATACTCACAGATGATTTAGAAACTTGAACAAGTTACTAATTCTATTATTAATCTTTCTGGAAATGAAAATAGCATATTAGTTTAAAAAAAATATTCTTAAGTTATTAATAGAAATAAAGGCTTCCTAATTTTAAAAGAAATTTCTAAAATACACCAAGGTAAGACTGTTGACTTTAAGAATTCTTCTATCAAAAATTTTCCCCCAGAAATGTTGTCGACTTCTAAATGTGTACCCATAACAAGCGTTGATGTGGAAATAATTTTTCTAATCAAGAATTATTTTGCATATTTCATGCTTTTTAAGTGCATATTTTAAAATTTTAAATGAATATAAATCCGGTGTTTAGTTGTCATCTTTCGGAACATTAAAACTGCTCGAAGGCTTTGATTTTCTTCAACAGCATATTTTTTGATGGAAAAGTGAATCTAGTTGGTTCTTTGGGGTGGTCAAATGTAACCAATTCCTTTCTTAAACACTTGACTGATAACAATGTAATCATTGCAAATTAGTTAAATTATTATTTTACAACAGTTGCAGAACATATTGCCACTAAAATAAATGTTCAAAGATCTGACGACACTTTAAGTTTTAACCCTAAAATGTATCTACATTAACCCTAGCTCACTCTATTTTCCAAGAAAATATAGGTATTCTACATTGTCAATAGGTCAAGTATTTTTATACTTGTTATCTTAATAACTATAATAATATGTTCTTAAAAACGTTACTAAATTTATAATCGTAATTTACCAACTTAAATTAAGAGTAAAGTGTGACCTTGTTTCAATGTTTCACTTGAACACTTTTAAAAGTGACCAAGTAAAAAGTAGGTATAATTAATTACGTCGTTACATACTTTGTTAAAATATAAGATCAGTCAAATGAACATTTTATTTTAATTTTTGAGATACCTAACATTTATTTGTATTTATAATATAGGTAAATATACTCTAGGTATATATTTTTTTGTCTTAAAAAACAGTAAGTACAAAAAAAAAATGTATTGGTACATTTTTTATTATAATTGTAGAGTAGGTACCTATTATTTTATCTTAATCAGTCCTAAAATAAGTTTATTGATCAGAATCAGTTTAATTTTCAGAAATTATAATAATTGTTTAAGATTGTCAGAATATTTTGCCGGTCTCCACTTAAAAGTAAGTATACCTTTTAAACCCTTCAGCTAAATAGTTATAATTAGAGACCGGATTTATAAATGCTCTTAAAATCTTAAAAAAAGATCTTTCTATGCTCCATCATTTCGTCAAAATAATCTTTTGTATTCAAAAATATTTTCATAAAAATGTATTAAATACTGAAAAAACAAATAAAAGTTGTGGTTTATAAAAAAATATAAGATAGTTAAATTAATCCTAATTATTATAAAATTATTCAAACAGTCATATTTAATCTATAACATGCGGTGTTGTAACAGGTACCTATATTGTATTATTGTTTAATTATATTTTAGATGTGTGATTGTAGCACAAAGTTACATATTTAAAATTCAGATTTGTGAATTCAAAAAACAATAAATAATGATTGCACATTTTTTTCTCTATAAATGTCAATAAAATTTTATTGGTTGGGTCAGAAAGCATGACAATTTAATGTAAGACTCATCATAACTTGTTACAATAGCAGCTACAAAATATTAAAAATAAATATAAACTTTTTTTATAAGCACTGAAAGTTCAAAGTTTGACAATATTTATCAAATTGGAAATTTTTTTAGCTAAGGATTGTAAATTTAAAACAAAGTTCCACTTAATCAGTTTTTTCCGTAACTAAGAAATCTAAAAAATATATGAATACAGTTATTTTTTAAAGACATTTTAATTTTTAAGTTCAAATTTTGACAAAATTACATATATTAACAAAGAATAACGTTTATCATTTTGTTGTAATATTTAGTTCCAAAACAGCCCAATTTTACATAGGTAGGTACCTAATTTAATATTTTTCCAGCATCACTGATAATTTAAGAATAATATTAATTCAACTTACCGGCTACCATATAAATAATAATTAATAACAATATAAAATATTCTAAAGTGACATACCGTAAATTTAGAATAGTCTACAAAAACTCTACGAGCATTGAGCTTCCAAATTTAAAATCACGAAAATTGACAAATATTGTTTAGTTAGAATTTCATAAAAAATGTTCTATTAATTGAATACAAGATTTCACTTAAGTTTTCCTACATTTAACAAAAAAAAAAATCTTAACATGATAACATTTTCAAAATATATTGACTCGTTTTAAATAATTTATAGACGTTTATTATTTATTTTCTAAGAAACATAATTTTAATAAAATGAAAAATGAAGAATGTTAATTGTAAAAATAATCTATAAGTCATGAAGTATGTTGAAATGTTTGAAATCTTATTTATTTAGTTGCCTAAGTAAAGTTGATCCAGTCTTAAAAAAACATTTTAAGTTCAAAAAGTATAAAC